ATAAGAGGTGACCACTAGGGATCAGAATTTGGGTCAGGCTGTTGGAGACAGAGATCAATTCACCTCAAAAACAAGAACAGCATTGATTCGGGTGAGTGGCACCATCCGTGACACAATTACCGAGTCATCACTGGCAGGCATGGCCCCTGCCACAGTGGCTGGGAGATGCAGATGGGGCTGACCTGTGGAGGGCTCTGGCTCTATACATGGCTGGGAGGCAAAAGCCAACACATTCCTCTCTGGACTGACGGAGTAATACACAGAAAAGCCCTCCACACTGTAAAAACAAATACACTGAATGTTCCACGCGGGCTGCCCAGGAGATCTTCTGGGTATCGCTTTGGAGTTACCAAATCCCAAAAGAAGTTCAGAAGTCAAATCACCAAAACAAGGATGGATTGGGTCAGGGAAGAAGATACTCTTCAAGTTCTGCTATTGTTTGAGTACTAGTCACAAGTCACACTAACAGCCAACAAGCACACAGTATCAGGCACCTGACACACAGCACCTCACTCAAGTGTCGTAGTCCTTGGTGAGAAGCACTGACACCCACATTAAACAGTTTAGTGCTTCTAGGGCCTAAGCCACGGAGAGAGGATGCGGCAAAGCCAAACCAGTTGGCTCCAAAACCCACTACAACTCGACCTGTCACTTAGAAGCAGCATTTCCAGAGGCCAGAGAAATGCTGCATTTACATGTGCACCTTATGAAGATGGCATGAGCGAATCCAAACAGGTATGAAAGAGACTTGAGACACACACATACACACAAAATCCAGTAGATAGAGACACTCACCCAGAGACCATCTAGGTCAGAGATTGATAAACATTTTTGGTAAAGAACCAGACAGTAAATATTTAGGCTTTGCAGTCTCTATGGCAACTACTCAACTCTGCCGCTACAGTGCAAAAGCAGCCATAGACAGCATATAATCAAATGGGCATGGCTTTATTTACAAACACAGGTACCAAGGAAGACTTGGCCCATAGGCCATGGTTTGCTGGCTCTGCCTTAGACCATGGGAGTCCTGGGAAGTAGTTGAATCAATAAGGACTTTGAACAGGTGAGTATTAGAATAACTTATAGTGACTGCTGATTGATGGATTCAGAATGTTTCAGATGTTTTATGAAATAAATACTGGAATTACCGTGTTTCTCTGTTATTGCAATTGTTACAAACAAATGGGAGTGGAGGTGTTCCAATAAAACTATTTACACAGTCAGACAAAGGTCTGAATTGGCACATAGGTCACAGTTTACCGAACCCTGCTGCCCTGAAATCTCTAACCAGAATTTTTTTTTTTTTTTTTTGAGATGGAGTTTCGCTCTTGTTAGCCAGGCTGGAGTGCAATGGAGCATACTCGGCTCACCGCAACCTCCGCGCCTCCTGGGTTCAGGCAATTCTCCTGCCTCAGCCTCCTGAGTAGCTGGGATTACAGGCACGCACCACCATGCCCAGCTAATTTTCGTATTTTTAGTAGAGACGGGGTTTCACCATGTTGACCAGGATGGTCTCGATCTCTTGACCTCGTGATCCACCCGCCTCGGCCTCCCAAAGCGCTGGGATTACAGGCTTGAGCCACCGCGCCTGGCCTCTAACCAGAAATTCTAATAAATCAACAATCATCTAAAATTAGCTACTACAATCCTTCAAATACCTACCGTAGACCCATTTATACTGAGAGCCTCTGATTATACCAATATGGGGATGAGAGAAAGAAGGAATTTTTTCCTTCTTTTAGCTGGATTCATTCAAACGAGATACAAATCCCAGCCATACCGGATCAACTCTTCACTCTTTTGAAGCAGATATGCAGGCAGTGCACTGTACACAGGCTGCATTTATCGCAGAAAAAGAGACTGCAAACTAATGGCCCATGCATCCCCATCACTGTTCTGCCAGCCCAGTTATACCACTGAGAATCCTACAGTCTCTGCACCACCATGTGACATTAACTGCTAGAGCTGCCTGCATGTCACACAATGTTACTGATACTGACAGATTCCAGGAAGAGCATATGTCATCAGAATGGCTCTCCAGCTTTCTAGGACTGGCCCTGGACTATACCAATCCGTAGTACAATCCTCTCACTCAATCCAACTTTTTGGTGCCAGAACTGGAAACCAGGGGGAAGACTAGGCTTTTAAGTTTAAAATAACTGAAACCAGGCTGGACACAGTGGCTCCCAGCACTTTGGGAGGCCAAGGCAGGCGGATCACCTGAAGTCAGGAGTTCAAGACCAGCCTGGCCAAAATGGTGAAACCCCCATCTCTACTAAAAATACAAAAATTCGTCAGTCATGGCAGTGTACATCTGTAATCTCAGCTACTAGGTAGGCCGACACAAGAATCGCTTGAACCCAGGTGGTGGAAGTTGCAGTGAGCCAAGATTGCACCAGCCTGGGCAACAAAGCAAGACTCCATCTCCGAAAAAAATAAAAATAAAAATAAATAAAAAACCTAAAACTAGTTATCTGCTTGTGAACATCCTTAACCAGATGGTGTCAGATAGCATTTGTGGTTTCCACTCTTAGTACAGTAGTTCTCCAAGGTGGCAAGAAGGGGACAATTATCACACATCTAGAGACATTTTGACTGTTACAACTAGGGAGATATTACTGGCATCTAGTGCATGCAGACCCTAGAGATGCTGCTAAAATCCTACCACACACAAACAGCTACCACAATCAAGATCTATTTAGACCAAAATGTGACCACCACCAAATGAGACACCCTGTCTTACTAGTAGGATCTCACCATGTGATAATCCTGAATACCTCAAGCACATATATTTAAATCCAATTAAATTCCAGAAACTCAACTCCAAAAACCACTTTGAGATGTTAAGTTGATTAGATGAAAGAGAAAACTAGCAGTTTGAGTTAGAGTTGCTGATGTGACCTGTTTGTTTCTTTGTTGTTTTTGAGAAAAAGACAAATTATTTTGCTAAGGTTCATCTATGAAAGGAGCAAGTGGGAATAATAATATCTACAGTTTCTTTGAGATGCAAAGTCCTATGATTATAGGCATATAAGGTGGCTGAAATTCTAACAGCTTATTCTGGGATTTTTGGTAACTTAAAAAATAGTATTTCTGTGAGGCTGAAAAGCTAAGACCTATATTATTGTCCTTTAAAATGAGGGTACACATTCCCTAAGAGATTTTCAGCAGTACACAAGAAATAAAAGCAGCCAAAACAACTGGATAAATTGAAAGCCTATACATTTGCTATTTGTGGGGCTTCTTGCCCATGAAAAGGTTTGACAGACTGAGAGAAACAGGAGAAAATTACCACTGAGCTATACCTTTTCCCCTTCAAAGCTGTAACATCAAATGCAAACAACCGGAAACTAAAACAGCATCTGTGTTACCTGCTATGTCATATACATTGGTAACACTAATGTTGACAATCAGCTTTATTTTCTGTTGGTATATCTAAACCACAGAGGAAGTGTGAATCAATGAGCAATTTTAAAATGCAACTTTAGAAAAAACTACCTAGCTGTTTTTCAGTGTAAGCTCCCACAGTACAGTCTCATTTTTTAAATCCATCAGTTCAAAAAAGGTAACATTTTATTTAGATATATTAAAAGCCAATGCCTACATACACTTTTAATAGATTAAAAGAAGAGAATGTGATTATTTACATAGTAAGAATCGGAAAAAAATGTCTACAATGTTCCTTAAAAGCAAGCATCTTTTAATAAATAAATAAATAAATATATAATATATATATATATATATATATACACACACACACACACACACACACACACACACAAGTGTATAAAATTTTACATACTTTTTTAAAAAACAAGGTTTTTTTTCCCCTTTTGGAAAGAAAAAACTGCATGTGTAACTGAGTATGATTTCCTGTGCTTGAACTCAACCTGCACTGAACTGTTGCTGTACATTTTTGGGAATCATGATTCGAACTCTGCATACTTCAGGGTACCTTCCTTGAGTGGGTCACAAAACAGGGCTCCATTTTCTCCACCTCACCCAACCCCATTCTTGTATCCCATCTATACTATCATGGAGACCACTTCAGTGAGGCCACCAAAACCTCAATTCAATGATCAGACTCTGTCACTGACAACAGGTCATCTTCTACAGACCAGGTCTGCTCTGCAAAAACAGCATGATCTAAATTCCATTTGCAGTTTTTGTGTTCGAAGTATTCGTGTGTACATATATTTTTGTGTATGTATATGTAAAATATCAGAAAAATATACACTGAAATGTTAATTGTGGTTATCGCCTGGAGTAGACTTTTTTCTTTTTTTGCTTGTCTATAGCTTCCAACTTTTTCTATATTAAGCATAAAAGAAAAGTTGCATTCCATGTGTATTTTTTTTTGCTCTGTATGATTTTAAAAAGCATCCTGAAAAAAATTCTTTTAAAGAAAGGCAACACATACACAAAGATTCCTTTCAAAGAGAATGCAAGTAGAAACAAGGGCAAGAAGAAGAGCAATACAGTCTCAAGAAGCCAAAGGTTAAAACTCACCAGCATGCAAGAGCCAGTGTCCTATTTATCAGCTGGAGGGAGGCACACAATTGGCTCTACGATTACTGGCTTCCACAGAACATTCCTCCCTATCTTCATCACCTCACCCCTACCAGTCTTAATTAAGTTTTGTTTAGGGAAAGATAAGGAGAATATTTTTCAGCATTCCCTGAACTCACTCCTACATGAGATTACGTGGTTCCAGAAATGTGTTCAGGGAGATGGAGCTAGCTGCAAATACAATCAACAGAACCCTAACTATACTAACCCATTGATTCCAGGGGAAAGTGTCTCTGCATACACCAGCTCAGAGCACCCAAAATGGCATTGCTTTAATTTTCTAAAGGTGCTCCTCTGTGTGCAATTCACTGCTTCTGAAGACAGTGGCAAAGGACACTTGGTCCATGACAAGACCATGTCTGGGAGCTTCTGGGGCCATTTCAAGGCCAAGGCACACATTAATGGAGCGGTCCCACTAGTGCAGTGCTTACCATAAGCTGTCATGACTCCAGCGTATGGCCCATCCACCACATTCCTGTTTTCTTCTGCCAGAGCCTTAATGTACCTTTTGCTGAGGTCCAGGATCTGCTCACGCAGCATGGAGCTGCTTTCAGGCTGAGTTCGCTGCTGGATGGTAAAGTGCAGAAGCATCATACCCCAAATGAAGCCAAAAGTCACCAGGAAAAAGCCCAGCTTCTGAGAGGACAACTTCCACGGAGTAAAGAGAGCCATTGCTCTCCAGCAACTTCACCTGTCCTTGGCTCTTAACGCATAGAAGATAGACACAAATTCATGGTGTAAGTTGAGTGTGAGAGTCTGCTGGTCTCACTCTGGCTCCTGTGTCAGCCGACTTCCTCTCCTCTCTTCCATTCTGCTGTGAAGGAGAAGAACGATTAGCAAAGTGGGCACAGCACAATCTAGCAAAATAAACCAGAAGCCATGTTTCCACTTGAATAGCTCTAAATAAAATGTCAACTCTTCAATTTGCTGGTTCAGTATCATACGATTCGGGATCTCTAAGCTGAGGGGAAATCTGGCTAGGCAACAAGAAGCTAAGCAAATACGCAGGGGGAAGTGTGTGTCTGCGTGTGTTAACAGGTGTGGTGGGGCTGTTCCAGCTTGGACCAAATGCAAAACAGGAAGTTTGTTTTGCAAGGTGGGCAGGAGACAGAAAGATAGTTCACTGAATGTCAGCAACAACTCAAGCCGAGGGTGGAGTTATATCACTTTCAGGCACTTTTGTGTGCTTGTAACTTAAGCTTACAAAGTCAGGATTATGTGCTTCTGGCAAGGACTAGAGCATGCAACTGGTGAGGTGAGCAAGAAAGCGGATGCCCCCTCGGGGTAACTAGACAAGAAACAGGTAGATTGCCCCATCTTATTTGAGCACGGCCAGCTTTCATTAACAGTGTTTAGAGACAGATGGCTCCCTCGGGGCCACCAGGCAGCCTCTCTCGGTGCACCAGCACAGAGAAGACGTGCCAGAGGAACAAGCAGTGGTATTGCTGTCCCAGCTACATCAGGGAAAGCTACACCCCACTGCTCACTTGCATGCTGCAGCACAAGAAATGTGGAACACCTGGCAGGCAGAATTTCTGTGGTTCTCACTTTCACTCCCACCATGAGGCAAAACGAGACATTAAAAGGCAGAGTAGTTTCAATATTAATGCAGCCAGATCCTATCTAATACTAGCACAAATCCGGCCACCCTTCTCAATCAGGCTTCCCAACAAGTAGGACCTGAGCATAGGTTTCAAATAGTTACCAGTATGTCCACCCTTTCTAGCCTGAGTCCTAGACCCAATACCAGTCAGCTTACAAATAGCGCCATTTTCTAAGTGCCATTCAAGGGAGAGGCTGAGCAATGATTCCGATCCCTTATAAGGAACTAACCCAGGATGTACTTCAGAGTGTACATATATGCTTCAGCCAAAGGATTCTTTGCAAGCAGCCCCAAAGAAAATGGTAGCAGGATTTTGAAGCAATTAGCTTTCAGAGTCTTGGATCACTGTTGGTCTGCCTCTTACTGTTTTCCCCTTGCCTATCAACAGAGTAACCAGTAGTTGGTAGTACTACTATTAATGAAAATAAATTATAAATTCTAGCTATGTCCCAGACATTATGATAAACATTCTTTAGTGGCTTCGCTCACTGAATCCTGATAGAAGTCCTATATGGTAAGAAGTATGAATATTATCATCTCTGTTTTATGAGAAACAGGAGAAAATAAAGGCAAAAGGTGATTAACTTGGTAAAGGTCAGCCAGCTATGCAGCAGAGGATTGATCATCTAGGCATGGGCCAGGGGTTATTAAACCATGCCCCACCTTCCCTTCCGCATCCTCACTCCCCCAAAGGCCTGTTTGTATATGGCAGAGAATGGTTTTTGTATGCTTAATGGGTCATGAAAAGCAATAAATATGTAACAGTTACCCTACGTAGCCCACAAAGCCTAAAATATTTACTATCTAACATAACAGAAAAGGTTTACCAACCTCTCAATTCTAGACCAGTGGTTCTCCAATTGTGGTCCCAAGCTAAGTAACGGCAGCATCATCAGTGAAAAATGCCAATTCTCAGGCCCCACCCACACCCACTGAATCAGCAACTCTGGAGCTGTGTGAAAGCCTGTACTTTAACAAGACTCCAGGTGATTCTGATGCACACTCAAGTTTCAGAGCCCCTGACCAGGCAGCCTGATTCCAGACCCATACATTCCACCACTATTCAACACCACCACAATGCCCAATACAATGATGCTCAAACTCTGTCCCGTACTACTTTATAACACAAGTTCCTCTGCCCCATCACACCCCACTCTCCCGTGACATACCTGCTGCTCTGTTCATCACCATAAACCCTGCACATTCTTCCTGAGGTGCTTCCCGGTCTTTACTAGGCTGCTCCTCCCACCCAGCTGGCGCATGAGTGCTCTCTATTATGCTGACAATCAAACCCAGCCTGTCTGCCAGGCCCCAGCTCTTCCCACCTGCCTCAGACCACTTTCCCCAGGGCTCCAGCCTGCAGGGCTCCTTTCCTAGTCTTACAACACTTCTGACAATGGAATACTATTCAACCAGAAAAAAAGAAAAATCCTATCTTTTGCAGCAACATGAATAAAACTGGAGAACATTATGTTAAATGACGTAATCCGGGAACAGAAAGGCAAATACTGTACAATCTCACATGCAGAAGCTAAAAAGTTGGTATCCTAGGAGATAACAGCACAGGTTACTAGGGGATGGGGAGGAAAAGAGGGTGGATGAGGAGGGAGTGGTCAATGGGTGACGAGAGCAGGAGTCAGTTCTGGTGTTCTATTGCACAGCAAGGTGACTATGGTTAATAATAATGTATATTTCTAAAAGAAACAATTTTAAATGTTCTCACCACAAAAGTAACTAGTTGGGGGTGATGGGCATGCTGACTATCCTACTTTGATCACTTCACAATGCATACACGTATTGAAACTCACATTGCACTCCATTATTATGTATAATTGTACCAAATATGTTTTAAAAATTGTAAAGGGGAAATAAAGGCGTATCATGAGTTAAAAATACCTATCTACCTTGGATTGTCTAAAGTTTCTACATGGGACTCTGTGACATCCTTTAGGGAACCCCCTCACCACAAACACACCTTCTCAGAGACAGACACTGACCACAGTGGCACAATAAAGTATCTGCTAAGTGAATATGTTGCCTAGGGCACTACAGCACTTTATTCAGTCCTTCTAACTTCAGGCCGAACAGCACCTGCCCTCTTTCCTTCCTCCACTCCTCCTCCCAGTCTAATGAGCATGGGCTGCCATCAGGCCCTGGCGACTGAACAGTGAACAAGACGGAGTTTCCACCCCATGGGTCTGACACTGTGAAAGCCACACTGCTAACTAGGTGCTGCACCTAGCTCCTCAGGAATTGGCTTCCCCGCCCCACCACCCCGGCTTTGGATAACCCATATTCATTACTTAATTTTACCCCAGGGCTGAAGGAATTTTCCTAGGGCAAACAAATGAGGTGCTGTATCAAAAAAGATGATTTTATTTCACTATTTTAGCAAAGAACCCCAATCACTGGCAGGAATTAGCTGTCCACTTTCAGACAGGAAAACCCACTCTACTTCCTCAATTAACCCTACTCAATAGGCTGCTCAAGCTGTGGCATCAAAACAAAGAAAACATCAAGGGCCAGGAACCGAACGATGGCTTCCTTAGAAGGTAGAAGCTTTCTCCTCCACCCTTGCCTTGGAGAGGGGGTCAGACCCACCCAGATGTTGTACTAGATGGATAAAGAGATGGCCAAAAAAACTCAGCCTAGGTAAAATTATTCCAGTTCAGAGACATGCAAATTTGAAGTGAAAATCCCTAGCTATGAGGAGTTCAAAGTACAGTTCTGATTAGTGAGGGCCCAGATTTTAAGTGACTATAGAACTGCCAGGAAACGTCTCTTCTCCAGTGGTACTTACAGCTTGAAATAATAGAAACTATATTCGCGTATACATAGCACCCATAAAGAATTACAGTAGAATTCATCTCTACAATTCCTATTAAGACAACAGAACTTAAGACTTTTCAAAAGCATTATTCAAGAGACACCCCTATCTCTCACAGTCACAGGTAGACAATGAAGAGGGTAATGACCAGCCATCCTCACAGAGAGTCTTGGTGCCACCAAATGACAATGAGGATCATCAGGAATGACCAGACAATTAACAGGGAAGCCCTAGACTAACAGTGATCAAGAAGCTGTTGCTGGAGCTAAGAAGACGCTTGCCTCCAGACCTTCTAACAGCTGAGTCCTCTAGGTAAGGGCATCCAATGGGCACAGTGGGAGTATACAGTAGATATCAGAAGACCTTGTTGCCAACCAGATTAATGACAGCTCAACGCCATGACCTCATCAATTCACCTCCAGAGAAAAACGCGTGCACCAAGTCACTTGGCAGAATTTACCACCTCAACATGCATTCCTCCACCCCCACCCTCCTACTTCTTAAAAGAGTAACAATCATCTCATTCCTTTCCACTCACTCCTCAACACAACTAAATCATCTTCTACCTTTCTAAAGATGGTCAGAAATCTCTGGCAAAGAAATGTGTCAATTCTCTTGCTTTTAAAAAAAACAAAAAACAGAAAACAAAAAACACATGAAAAGATGCTCAACATCATCAGTCATTAGAGGAAATGCAAATCAAAACCACAATGAGATACCAACTTCACAGTCATAAGGGCATACAGATAAGAACAAGTGTTGGTGAAGATGTGGAGAAACTGGAATCATCATCTACCACTGGTGGGAATGTAAAATGGCACAGCCAGTGTGGAAAATAATCTGGCAGTTCCTTAAATGGTTAAATGGTTAAACATGGAGTTACCATATGGCCCAAACAATTCTGCTTCTAGGAATTCTCCCAAGAGAAACGAAAATATGTGTCTACACAAAAACTTGTACATGAAAGTACTCAGCAGCAGTATCCATACTCAGCAGCACTACTCAGCAGCATTATCAATAATAAACAAAAGTGAAACCAGCCCAATGTGTATGGATAATGGATAAACTGAGGAAATGGATACACAAAACTGGCATATCCATGCAATTAAATATTATCTGGCTATAAAAAGGAATGACCTGATTATTCTACACACAGATGAATCTTAAGAACATTATGCTAAGCGAAAAAAGTCACAAAGGACCCCATGTTACATGATTCCATTTACATTAAATTTCTAGAATAGGCAAATCTGCAAAGACAGAAAATATTTTAGTAATTGCTTAGAGCTGGGGTATGGAGAATGGAGGAAATGAAAGGTTAATAGGTAAGGTTTCTAGGGTTTTTCTAGGGTGTAACGAAAAGGTTCTAAAATTGTGTTGATGG